CCTTAAAGTCATTGGCAGCCCTGTCGCAGCGGTTCTTCTGGCCTGAGATGAGGACAGACCTGCTGCACTATATTGAAACCTGTGAGTTGTGCCAAAGGAACAAGGTCGTACGCCGGCCTCCCCTTGGCCTGCTGCAACCACTTCCCATTCCTGAGGCACCTGCACAGTCAGTGTCTATTGATTTCACTGATCTGGGGAGGACTACCCCTCGTGGTATGCGTCAGGTCATGGTGTGTGTTGACAGGTTCTCTAAGTATGCAGAGTTTATTCCTCTACCAGAGGAAGCCAGAGTCCCGGCCGTACGAGCGGCCTTTGTTGACAGGTGGGTTACTCACCATGGACCACCCACCTCTATTGTCAGTGATAGAGATCCGTGATTCTGCAGCAATGAATGGCAGTCCAACTGCAAGGACTACCTTCATTCCAGGCTGAATATGACATATGGACATCATCCTGAAGCCAATGGGCAGGCTGAAGTGATGAACCAGATTCTTTTTCAGCTGCTGCGTCCTGTGATCAATCCTAATCAGCAGGATTGGGATCTCCATCTAGGACGGGCACAGCTAGTGTACAACACCTCTGTACATTCCTCCACAGGGTTCACCCCTTACCGGTTGCACTGGGGACGTGAGCCACGACAGCCTCTCGATGACATCATCGATAAGGCTACTCCCAGACTGACTCCTGGGACTACAGAGTTCACCAGACAGTACCAGAGGGATATTGAACGAGCCAGAGTTAACCTGCTCAAAGCCCAAAAGGCTATGATCCAGCAGGCTAACAAGCATCGTCCACCATCCCCCATTCACGCTGGTGACTGGGTCTGGGTACTCAGTTCTAAGCTATCGCGGGAGGAGGACATTTCGCCTAAGCTGTTGCCGCGTTACATGGGTCCATGGCAGGTTTTAGATACAGTGGGGGCTGACCCTTTCGGGCCATCCTATGATGTAGATGTCCCACTGCATCTACAAACCTACCCTGTCTTTCATGCATCTAAGCTGTTGCCTCTTACGTCGGCTGATGCATTTCCCGACAGACCTCCACAATTTGGTCCCCCGATCCCTGGGAAGGGATAACTGGTGGAAGAAGTTGTGGATGAGTATGGTACAGGCCCAGATAAGGAGTACCTTGTGAAGTTCCTCTACCAGCCCCATACAGAGTAACTACGAATAACGGACCCAGGCTACCCCTAGGACAGACAGGCCCTATGGGCCTACGCTGATAGACAGTCCTATAGCTTATAGCCGGGTAGGGAGAGGCCCTAGAGGCCGAAACAGAAACGGTACCGGTCGGTCAGTCAGTCCGGTCTAGGTCGGTCTAGGCTAGTAGTAGAGTATAGATAGGATGGGGACATCGGTCCTGGGCTTTTGGCAGTTGACACTTCGTGGTGGAAGTTGCTGCGCACACGGTATCAGTTCGTGGTTGCTGATTCTAGTGTGGGAGACGGCGGACATAGCCGGGCCTTCGGAGCGTTGACCGGACCGGGGTCAACGCTGTCCGCTCTGACTCTCTGGGAGTCAAAGCGGTCTGGGCTATCTGAGGTCTGATGCGTTGGAGCACGTGGTGCACTGCTGACCCTCCTCAGGAGTAGGGTCCCAGTGGCGATGCAGCCACAGCTGCATCTTCTCAGAGATATCATCGTCTGGACTTCATCTTCATCAGGGACTGTTGGCGCTGAGCTTCTTCTTCATCATCTGGATGGCGATTGGCTCTGGGAGCCTGTTTCACTTTGGCGCAGGCCAATGAGTTGGATGTCAGGGTGGTGCTGGGTGTTACCTGGGGTTTCGGTGCTATTTTTAGCTGTTCAGGGGGTTGGGGTTAAGGCGCTACCCCTCTGAGGGTAGCGCAACAGTGCTCTGAGGTTATTCAGTGAAAACGATGCTCTGAGTTTAATAAACAGTGTCAATACTGTGTTCGAAGTTGTCATCTCTTCATTGATTTCTGGCTGTGACCACTCGGGTGTCTCCTATGAATGATTGTTGGGATTTGTGTGGAGGGAATTCACAGTTTGTGTGTTCTGTCACTTCGCTCCTCTGAGTCTTCCGCTGAGTTTCTTTCTGTTGGGCGGTGTGATACTCCACTACCTCTCCCCCTGCTTCTGTGCATGTATGGGCGTGTACGGGAGTTCCTGTGAGTGAGCGTTGATAAAATTTCAACAGACAACCATGTTCATAACATCTGTATCTTATCCGAACCTGACGAAAGATAAGAGGATGCCGAGATCTTCCAAGAAAGTATACGGCCCCAAGCCGGTGGAAGGCCCTGTCCAGTCAAGGGAAAGGTTTTCAGCGGGGACAAAGACTGCAGCATAAGCGGAGAGTTCTGCAAAACAGCACAAAAGGGGGTGAGCCAGTCCAGAGAACGAAGCGCAGCGGAGGACGAACAAAAGAAATTCCACAAGAAATGACAGGCAGGGACTAAGGAGGCTGAATAGAACAACCTTGACCACAAAGGGGAAGGAGTGGCTTAAAGCGGAGGCAAGGAAGAGATACCATACTAAAGGCAAAAGGCAAGGGGAGGGCGAGACCAAAAAGGAAAGACCGTGACCCCCCGGTAAGACAGGACACAAAATCCTCGAAAACCAGGAGGCCCCAAGGAGGGAATGTAAAGGTGAGGGTAAATACTTGAATATCACTAACAGAAGAGTGCAAAAAGGCAGAGGTGGTGAAGCTACACTTTTCGTCTGAAAGTTGGGAACAGCTTAAAAGAAGGGGGGGGGAAAGCAGGCGCTCAGGATACCATGGATTCAAAGTCCAAAGCAGGCACCACAAACCCTCAGGCCAAGCGCAGGAACGGCGGACACATGTCAAACCCAGGAGGGTCTATCGGCAGTGGACAAATACGACCGGGTAAAACTCATCAGGAACAGTTTTTCTTTTACACAGAAATAAGGCAAGCATAAAACGCTTCAATTTGGGATGGAGGGCAGAGAGAAGGAAGGAGGGCATCCAAAAATCAAGAACAGGGAGATATGGGTGGATGCAAATGGAGATCAGAGAAATAGTGCTCAGATTGGGGTTTTAGGGTTTAGGGTTTTACCAATGTGTCCAAAAGGGGAGGACGGATTACAGAGGGACAGAGGTTTGCGCACCGCATGAATAGGATGGAATAGCAGAGAAGACACAGGTCAGCAGGGACAAAGGAGGAACTCTTTCTAGGTGACAGGGCACTATTTGACAGATTTGGCCACCAGATCTGAGAGGAAAGAGAGGGGCAGGGCAAGCTGACAGTCAACCCCCTGCCAGGGCGGAGCAGGTAATGCTGTTCAGGAATACTTAGGCCAAACGGAAGGTAGCGTGAGTGTTTTGTCAAATTAATGTGTATGCCGACTTGCCGCTGGAATAGGAATCGGACTGATGCGCCCCAGAACAGAGGGCGCCAGGAGGATCAGGCAAATCACGACAGCAGTACAGCTGAGGGTTTTAGGGTGTTAGATTCAGATTTAAGGTGTTAGAATTGTCAGGAGACTCATAGGCAAACAAGACTTAGTTTAATAGAGATTTCAGAAGATGCATAGGAGTTCCAGAACGCTCTAGCAGAACACACCAACCAGACAGCATCACGTCTGAGAGGAGCGGGACTGGGATCAGACAGATTGGCAACAAACAGGCAGATCAAATAGCACAGGCTAACTTAGGCAGGGGCGAGGGGTGGTACATCCTTCCCCAGGGAAGTAATCAATGCCGCCCACTCGGGCCTCCCAGCCATAAAGGGGAGGAGCGTGTGTGAGTCTCCCTTGTATTCCATATCGACTTGCCGGGGGAATAGGAACCGGACTGTCGCTCCCCAGAATGGTAGGAGCCAGAACCAAACGGTTCTGTTCTTGTGTTAAAAAAAAAAAAAAAAACTGCTTTAGGGCCTCATTCCACGACTTACCACTTGCACAAAAGACAAAAACGATGGCAGTGTATCTGCCCAGTCTTTTAGATGAAGATTCATTCCCATTTTTCACATTTGGTACGTAGTGGAGCAATGCTGAGTCCGTGAGAATGGGGTGCAGTCTGATGAGTCCATGACAATCGGGTTCAGTCTGACACAGGGCCTCTCTCCACTACTAACCAAATGGGCAAATGAGAATGAATCTTCCTCTAAGAATCCGGAAAGATACACTGCCATATTTTTCGTCTTTTGTGCATGTTGTGAGTAGTGGGACTCTGATGAGTCCGTGACAATAGGGTTCAGTCCGACACAGGGCCTCTCTCCACTACTAACCAAATGTGCAAATGAGAATGAATCTTCCTCTAGAATACGGAAAGATACACTGCCATATTTTTCATCTTTTGTGCATGTGGTGAGTAGTGGGGCGAGGCCCACGGTCTTGTTTTCCCTTCTTTGTTTTGTTTTTTCTTTACAGTTGACGAGAAAAAACAAGATGAAGTTGTGCCACAGCCTCATGCAGCGGAAATTCAATGCCGAAACACACCAACGCCCCCCATGATAACGGGGACTCAACACTGAAAGCAAAGAAAAAGCCCAGTGCGCGCACATCTGGGGCAGTCTGGTGCCCCTGCCGCACTGCAACTTTGCGCGCCATGTGCACGGTGCGCTCAGTGCGCGAGCATTGACCAGCCGCGCATAACGCACGGTTCACCGCACCGCATGGCGCACCATACAGGTGCGCAGCAGGTATGTTGCAGAAGTTGGGCCAGGGCTTGATAACTGTGAAATGCCCGCTAGACAAGCCTCATGGCCGATGGATACCAAATCAAGTATTTCCTGAGTTTCTGAAATGAAATTATTCGGCTATGGTCTATTGGTGATCTCTCTTTGGTTGACTCCTCTTTGTTTCAATTTCAATTTGCAATAGGTTTTGAACTTTTGGTCAATGATTGCATATTGTTGCTTGACCCATGGCTGCTGCTCAATGGCGAAGAAGGCTTCGTGGATGCAGATGGCACAATTCTTTTTCTTTCTTTCTTGCCAATTGATGACCTCCGTGAACTTATTGTCATGCAACGATTTTTGTTGGTGTGACTCTGACTCCTCGTTCCACCACGCAGTTTTTCCTGGGATCATCTGATGGCTCAAAGCTCTATTTAAATAACAAGCTGCTGATTGACAATGATCGAGAACACCCCTTTCACGTTCTTAATGCGAGCATACAGTTACCAGGGAATACATGGGCAAGAATCCAAGTTGATTATTTTGTCGCAAGCGGCATCAAAGCATTATCCTTATCTTGGATCAAGCCCGGCTTCCGAGATATAGAAGTGATTCCAGCATATCTGTTAACAAGAAGTAAGTACTGAATATGAGAATGGACGATGTGTCATTTTTCGTTTGTCAATATTTAAGGGAGCGAGGCAAACCCTCACATTGTTATTCACTCTACCATGCCTCGAAGTATGGTTTCTTCACTCTCTGAAACTGGCTCTGATTACAGCATTACCTCCTCTCTCTCTCTCTCTCTCTCTCTCTCTCTCTCTCTCTCTCTCTCTCTCTCTCTCTCTCTCTCTCTCTCTCTCTCYCACACACACACACACACACACACACACACACACACACACACACACACACACACACACAAAACATACACATACAATCCACCAAAATCCAGACTGACAATTGGTACATACAAACAATCACCACCAATAAGCTTAACCAACACCCCTAAATACAACCTCCCGCACACCACCACAGGCATAATACAATCTCCTGCATGCTACTATAGGCTTAATAAACAAAGTATAGCAAAAACCCGCGTACAAGTACTGCAGCCTGCATACTACTACAGGCATAAGACACAAGCTGGCCGAACAATGAACCTGGACCCCTGCGCGTTGCACGAAAAAACATGCAACAATTAGCACCCCCTGCCCACCCACCATCCCCAAACTCACACCCCCAATAAAAGGAAATGCACCCGCACTCGAGTCCTTCTCGCTGCAAATACAGGAACTAAGAACCAAAAAGCAAAAAATCAGAAACAAACCACACAGCAAAAACCAAAAAATAACGGGCAGCAGAATAAATTAGACCCCCTTCCCACCCACCAACCCCAAACTCTCACCCCCATTGGAAGGAAGCACATCCGCACACGAGCAACCTGTGTTACGGAACAAAAACCAAGAACCTAAGAACAAAAAAATCAAAAACACACCACTCGCACAGACACTAATAAAAACAAGAAGAAAAACGACAAAAATATACGAACAGACAGCAATACCCGCCAATGTCATCTACAAAGACAAAATTTCAAGAACAACGCCCGCACATGACCCGCAAATGCAATATACGTTTTTGCAGCACGCCTTTCCTCCCGCTACTGACAAAAGCCACAAACAGACAACTTTTCGAAAAAACGTGACGACGTAACACAGCGCAGACAATACAAAAAACAAAAAATCTGCAAACCCAAACGGACACAGCACGAGCCACCTTCCCCACGATTGCACAAACAAACAATCAACTCTGTAGAACCTGCCTAGATGACAAAAGCTTACAACAGTGCATGCCCGCCATCGCAACACGCACAACCATCCCCCCATATCACGAAAAGCCAAACCCCCCCCCCAAAAAAAAAACTGACGTAATCAATCTATACTACATACACCTCCACCATACCCTTCAGTAAATACCCCTGCCATAATCAACCCAACCTCGGCTGCCCAGCATGCTAGTGCCCCCACATACACCAAGCATACCCATACGCCTGCGCATGCCATCCACACACTCTACCCGCGCATCCACCTCGCTACACTTGCTTAAAAAGCAGCGGCCAAGGGGTTCCTTAGCATCTGCAGCCGAAGCTCCCCACTGTTGGTTGCTTATGTTACTTCTTGCTCTGCTACCGTCCCTCCCCACTCTCCTCTCCTCAACCTCAGACTCGGTACTACGGCTGGGACAACTACACCCTCCATAGCCACCTGAGAAAGGAGGTTGTCTACTCTCCACACTTCTACTTCCTTAAGCAGTCGCTAATAGTTCACACACGTGAACAAACGCAGCTGCAGAGTGAGCTGATCGGCAGAACGCTGGCAACATAGCCTTGCACTGCGATCACGTTGGGCTAGATCTAACCAAGTGCGTGGACAGGAATGGCGGCCATGGACAAATTTATCGCCGAAGCAGAAGCCAATGAGCACGTGGTAAGTTCTCCCCAGAACACCGACTGCTCTAATCCTCACCACTTGCCCACTCACCACCAATGGGAGCCAGAGGAACCACACCCTCTGATGAGCCGTGATAGGCGCTAGCGGCGAAAAGCGCTTTAGGGGATGCGCCACCCCTCCTCCACTAGCAAATACAGCTAGTGTGTGATGGCATTGACCATCATGCTCCCTTTCTATCCCTTCTCTCCCTCTCCATCGCTCTCCTTCCCTCATCTCTCTCCTTCGCCCTTGATGTGTACCTTCTGTATATGCAGGAACCAGAGAATAAGGAGGCAAGGTGAGATCTTCTGACCAGTGGCTAAGAAAGTACAGTCTGTCCCAAGGTACGTGGAGGTTCCCATTTTGGGTTGCTATGGCTGCAATATGCATTTTATACACACACACACACACACACACACACACACACACACACAGAGAATAGGGGCTGTTGTGGTGGAAATTTAAAACCCACACACACACACACACACACACACACACACACACACACACACACACACACACACATGTATACATATGTATATGTGCAAGCGTGCCGCTTTGGCGGCAGACGGGTGTGTGGGCACTTGGCGCTGAACCACACAAATGTGGCCAACCTTGCATTTTCTAGTATATTGCTTATCTCTACTTGGCTTGTGATGATTTGTGAAGGGAATGAGAGACAGAATCTGGGGTCGTTTAAAACAACACACATTCCGGTCTTGGTAGCTCTCCGTCCTGGCAGATTTGAGCGTCTCGGATCAGGCCCGTACTAGTGAGCTATTCGCCCTTTTTGTGGTTGGATATGTGTTGTTGGTTTTGTTGATTATACACGGTCAAATTCTTTGCCTTGCTTTAGAGGTTGGGCTGTTTGGATGTTTACGGGTGGCCACGAGTTCTCTTTGGGGGGAATGTATGTTTTGTGGGCCGGTGTGGAAGGGTTTCCCAGTTTTTTCGGACGCTTAGCAGGGGGGGTCGGTGCGTTCTGGCTGGAGGAGTCTTCTGTCTTAGGTAAGTTGTCTCTTTATCTTCTTCCTCTTCTTTGGCAGTGATGCGAGTGTGTAGTTTGAGATGAATGTCGGGAATGCCAATGCTGTTATATTTTTTTGTTTTTGGTAAATGAGTTTTTGGTTTTGTGGGCCGATGCGGAGGGATCTCCAAGTTTTTTCGGACCTTTGAGGGGGTTGGGTTGGTGCCTTCTTGCTGGAGTAGTCTTCTGTGAAGTTCTGTCTTAGGTGAGTTGCCTTCTGCCCTCCATCCCCTTATGGTTTGAAATATATATGTATACATCTGTATATGTGCAAGTGTGCCGCTTTTGTGGCAGATGGGTGTGTGGGCACTTGGCGCTGAACCACACAAATGTGGCGAACCTTGCATTTTTGATTATATTGCTTATCTATACTTTTTCGTTATGGATGGCTTATGATGATTTGTGAAGGGAATTAGAGAGAGTATCTGGGGTCTTTGAAAACAACACACACACACACACACACACACACACACACACACACACACACACACACACACACACACACACACACACACACACACACACACACACANCACACACACACACACACACACACACACACACACACACACACACACACTGAGTCTGGCTCGTCCATCAGGAACAGTATGTCGATGAGCATTTGCAAGCACTGCACCCCCCGGAGAGCAATCCGGCTGATTCTACCACAAACAGTGAAATGACCTCTCCACAGGATGATGGTTGTGCCCTCCTGTTGTGTCGTTGCACAGGTGCAGTTCGGTTGGCATGTACACGACATAGCCTCTGCTCCGAACACTATGAAGGGATGGTCGCTGCTAGCCTCTCACACGAAAATTGTGATCCCCTGTCCTGTGCTCATTCCCCCCACCCCCTGATTACTTGCCCGGCATGCCGTTGTGGCTTTGATCTGCCATGCTTAAATAACTGTGCACGTGAGCCTTCCATACTAATGACATGTCAGCAACATGCCATGTGTCGCCAGCACTTCCAGGAAGCTGTCATAGAAAGTATGTGTCTTTACTGCGTGGACTATCCCCGGTGCCATCACCCTCCACATCCTCTCCTAGCATGTCCCACATGCGGTGTTGGTCATACACCTACGGCAACCCCTGACGGATCTCCCTCTTTCTTGCCAGACGAACGACGAACACAGCAGTCCGAGGAGGAAAATAGATTTCTATATGAACCACCGGCAGAGCGATGTGCTCATAGTTTATCACCACCAGGGTGAGCTGTTGCGGATCATATCCAGCAGCAGCTGAACGCCCTTGCGTTGGACCGATCCTCACTGTCGTCGTCTGCCCATAGAGAAGGAATACATACTGAGGAAGCCCAAGAAAGATGCTCCATGCCGTTTGTGATGACCCACCGGAGATTCAACTAGCAGGTTGGTACCGAGGATTGAATGTTGGTACAAACGGTGGTAGACAGCTTACCGACAGGGTGAAAACCTGCTAAGAGGGTTTTACTAGGACCCGTGGCACCGGGTAGGGTATATGGGATTCGGGGGCTCAAAATCGGAGATCAGGNAAAACCTGCTAAGAGGGTTTTACTAGGACCCGTGGCACCGGGTAGGGTATATGGGATTCGGGGGCTCAAAATCGGAGATCAGGCCTGCCCTGCCCCCTCTGCATTGGACTGCGGCGGTAGACCGGCCAGAGGGACAGACCAGAGATATCAACGAGATCCAGAAGCGATATGAAGACAAATGATGAAACGGCGCCGATGCTAATAAGCCGGACAGCACAGCAAATGGAGAACAGGCATACGACGAAACTGGGCAAGAAAAGGCACGCGAGACTCGTGTATGAACCTCAGGCGGGAAAGAGAATACGTATCCTGGTGGTACTCCAGTTTTTTCGGTTACTTTCTACCTGGAATTTTTTTCGGGTTTTTTTCATTATATATTTTTAATTTTCTTTGGTTCTCTTGAGAAACGTGTCTCACGATGCTGGAACTCAGGAAGCCCGGTGCGTTTTTTGGAGTATTTAAGGAGTATGGAGTGCGAACTTCGAAGCAGACTGAGCAGTTGTGAGGTAGAAGGTCTGATGCACGGGGATTCCCCCAGTGCACATACAACGTGGTTACTCTGTGATAGTAAAGCCTCGACTACATTGTTTTTGAGTTTTCATCTCTCG